ACTGGCTTTTGCATTTGGATGAGAAGTTGGGAAGGAAAAAAAAGACAAGAAAATGGAAAAAAAAAAACCCCTTACTAAAGCAATACCTTGGCATGTCTGATCTCATGTTGCAACCCATGTTTTTTTCCCTACAATGGAGATTTGTGCTATTCTGTGTGTGGTATAATTACTAAGACAGATTTTTTTTTCCTTAATTGCACAATAAATAGGATATTTCCTGGCCAGCTTTGCGTTTCCAATAGGATTTTCACTTCCCATTTGGATTCTGGGCGTAAGGAGAGTAAGTGTCAAAAGGCAGGAGCTTTCCCAGTTTTAAAACAGAGAGGATGTAACCATGTGTAATGTGAGCCTTGAGTTTGATTGTAGGGATGATGAAATCAAATCCCTCCTTAATCTTTACTGGGAAACATTTAGGTGAATTAGCCTGCTTGTTTTTGTTAACTTGTTAAAATCCTTAAAAAAAAAAAAAAGTGTTTTAATGCAATCAAAAATATCTCCTTGCTTTACCCCAGTCTAACAGGCCCCTGGACCACGTGTAGAGTGACCTCAATGCAGTGAAAAATGAAAGGAGAAGGAGGATAGATAAACCCAAATACATTATTTGCCTGGAAAAACCACAGTGCTTTGCCATATGCAATTCTTTCCAGTGCTGCCATTTTTAAGCTAGATGCTTAGTCATTATTAATGATGGTGTATTTCTTTGAAGTTCTGTATTTTGGGAAAAACTGGAACTTGTCTTTTTTTCCTCCTTTAAGATTAGTTAAAATAATATACAGTTGTCTGTGTGTATTGCATTTACCAGTTGGTGTATTTTTTGGAATATGTGAGGAAATTTATTCCAGTTATTTCATTTATAGCAAAGTATTAGCTTGAACTTGAGAAGAGCTCCTTGTTCACATTGTTCAGCTGTGCTGTGCAGTGGTTGGAGGCTTTTGATACTGCCATGACTTCACAAAAATACTTGACACAAGTTCATAAAATCACTGAGACTATTTTTTCTCCCTCCTGAAACCACCTAAATTTTGTTAATTGATAATGAGTTCATGCAGCCCCCACGCATGCGCACAAATGTTTTTAAGGTTTAAGTAATTCACTAAAAATAGCTGAACTGTTTAAGGGGGAGCACCTTGTAATTAATAAAGGAGAACATGTTGTTCATTCTTGCCATTACTCAGATAGAGGGAAGCAGCTGGTCTGACAGGAGGCTTTTCCTGATGTGGTTGTACTGAGTTCCAGGGCAGGACCTTGCATTGCTTAGTGTGAAGGACAGAAACAGCTGGAGACTAAGTAGAAAAGCATACTTTTTGAGTAGGTAAACTAATAAAATTGTGTTTGTGGAAAGCAATGGGAGCAGAAAGTGCTGTTTCCAAGATGGAGAAACATAAATCTCTAGAAATTCTCTCTCTGCAAACTCCAGACTTTTCTGTTGCTGGGGTCCACATTCATCCCACTTAAAACTAAGGCACTCAGTGGATGCAGTCAAAGTGAAAGGTGGACAGATTCATCTTTCAGATGTGCATCTTGGCCTTGCTCACACAGGAGACCTTCCCTTGGGCACCTCAGTTAAACTTCAGTGGGGTGAGTAGTGGTTGGCCAAAGAGTCTCACCCAGCAAATCCTCAAATCTATTTTACTTTTCCATGGTCACGATGGGAATTTGCCTTTTCAGGTGAGGCTCTTCTCTGTTGGGAGTGCACTTTAACAACTCTATCTCCTTTATCCTAGTGCCCACAAAGCCTCAAATCTGTCCCTAGCTGCAGTCTTTTATTCAGAATTGTCAGCCTGTCCTTAGTTGCAATCATTGTATCAGAAATATCCAATATTACTGGCAGGGAGAGTGCATATGTCACCAACTTGCTCTGTTTTATAAGTGCTTCATCACTTTTACTGTGTTTCAGGGAAGCTGCATGAGAAAGCTTTTGTGAAAAACAGCAGGGATTAATGGTGGTTCTCCAGCTTGTCAATTATATGTTCCTTTCTTTCCATCCACTGCTTGAGTTCTTGATCTTGATGAAGGTATTATTTAATTCCTGCCTTTCTGAGCCCTTACTCTTGGACAAATATGTAACAGATTTTCATTTAGGCACTACTGGAGTGCTTTAAGAAAGCTTTTTTTCTTTGAACCTCAGAGTGACTAAGCCTGGCAAGTTTTCTTTCTCATCTCCTCCTGGTAGTTAATAGACTTCACAAGGGATCTCAAAACACTCTGATAAGCCTTTGAAGTTGTTACCTACTAAGGTTTTGCTCTTTATGAGTGCTGAACGTTGAATTACTGACTGCTGTTAGAGGCAATGAGAAAGGATTCACAAAACCAAGAGTGACTTGCCTATAATTTCCACAGAAAAAGAGCTGAATATAACAGATAAGTTGTGTTGCTGGGGAGATTTTGATTCTGTTCCCTCCTCTGTCACCAGTTTGCCTTGTGATTTGTGGTAGCATTTTCAGTTATGCCAGTCACATGAGATCAAAACCCATGAGTCAGTCTCCACCCAAATCATGAGCCGGGCTTCCAGATCCCAGAGCTTTGAACAGAGATCATACTGTACTTTTTCTTTAGTTTATCTTTTGTTTTTGAAATTTCCTCTGCCTATTCCCAATCTGTCTCTGGCAATAAATGTTTCCCATTGCTTTGGAAGTGTTGAGAAGGAATTTTGACCATTGGGAGAGTTGGAGGCCTCATTTGACCTACACAAATGATTTTAGTTTTGATCACCAAATCAATCTTATTTCTTCCAGATTTCACAACTTTTTCATTTTCCCTATGACTTCTACATCCCTTAGCCCCACACAACACATCACTTCTGTTTCTCCCCTGCCATTATCATTCTTCCAGGCACATGGTGTAACTCTTGGGGATGTCCTTTGCTAAGAGTTGGACTCAGTGATCCTTGTGGGTCCCTTTCAGCTCAGCAGATTGTGTGATTCTGTGATTCAGCTGATTCTATGATTGTGTGATTCAGCTGCTTTGTCCCTCCTTTAGTCCTCTGGTCTGGAGATGGTTTTTCACCATTCCCTTGAAGGACAGAGAACATATAAGATGCAAGTCTGGATAATCCTTTATCTTTGCATGAGAATAAACAAATGCAGAGAGCAGGGAAATTGTGTTCCTGTGTCTTTCCTGAAGAAGATGAAATTGTGATTTATGAATAAGATGGTGAAAAAATCAAGGGGAATTTTGTTGTCATATTGCTGTTTTCTCCCAGGCGTTTGCCTCTTTTCAGGAAGGGTAAGAAGTCAAAAGCTCCTGGAAAAGGTTTAACAACCAAAATCCAAATCAGAAAATGTGATTTTGTAGTAATTATGGCATGCACTATGGTGGTCCCTGGTATTCCCATGGTGACATTGTTGCTGTTGCCATGAAATTTGCAGAACAGACCTAATGATTAAATCCATGACATTTTGCAAAACCAGACTACTCTCACCTCAGGTAGATGGGAAATGCATCCTTTCTTACTCATTCTCATGCTTTACCACTCTTTCACCCACATTGTTTGTTGATCCTTGCATATGCCAGACATATTGCAGATCCATAATTTCAAGTAAAACTGAAGCCAGACTGTTCCCCCCTATATTCAAGTACCTTAGATTCTGAGTGCTTGAAACTGAATCTGAACCCAGATCAAATCTCTTTACATAGCTCTGAACTTCATGTCAGGTTCTCTCCAAGCCTTGAATTCACACTCTCCACATAGTTTGGTGACAGGAAATGTGGAATTTGTTTTTAAACCCAGAACTGTCAAAAGTTGCATTCAAGACATGAGAAAGACTCTTGATGTTCACAAGAAAATCTTTTGGCTGAACATTTCACAGGCAAGGCCTGAATTTGTACCAACTGGACATGTCTCAAGATGTTTCACAGAGCTGCAATAATTAGAAGGGGTTCATTCTTTAAGACAGAGAAATGCTACCTCACAGCTTGAATATTAATAAAAGAAAATTTATGACAGCCAACAAAGTAATGTAATAATTATAATTATAATAAGTAATATTGTCTCCAAAGGAAAAGGGCATTTATCTGCTTAGCTCTTTCATCAGCCATTTTCAGACACACACTGTGCTTAAAATGCAGTTATGCAATCCATGTGGGTCAACAACGGAAGGTTGGTTGCTTCACCAGGATTATAAGAATCTTTTAAACACAATGGTACCACAAATTAAAATGGAAATCTATCAAAACAATTATCATCCTGAAAGCTTTGGCCACAAGCATGATTATTGTAGAAGGATGTTGTCCTTGGCCACAGCTTTGGCTCAGTTCAGCTGCTGTTATTTGTATCCCTCCGTTGCTCAAAGTTAGAATTTGCATGGCTAAGGACCATAAATTTTTAGAGGAAAAAAATAGGCTGTTCCTCAATGCTAACACTAGCAGTTTTGTGTTGTTGTGTAGTGGTTTGTAGGCAATTCATTAGATACTAGAGATAGGAACAGACTGAATGTGGTGGCTGAAGCCTGCCTTGAACCTCAGAAGGATTCAGATGGACATTTCTGTCTGGACCTTGCTGTTTGTGTCTGAGGCAGTTGTTGATGTGAACAAGAATGAACTCCATGAACAAGAGTGAACTCAATGTCCAGAGTTTTTGGGTTTAACTCTGAAGTACACGTTTTAGATAGTAAAACAGTGAAGCAGATACTGAGCTGATCTAAACTGCGGTCTACAGACTTAAATAAAGCAGAAATGTGTGTCCATCCTGTCCATGAGACAGGCAGTCCTGTAGGGATGAGAGTAGGTGAAAGAGCACCCTGGATGTTGCTTGCCATCAGCAAGGGGCACATCTCCTTAGGGATGTCCTCAGGAGAGGCTCCATGTTGCATCCTTGAGCTCCTGACAAGGGTGGAATCCTGCAATAACTCCATTCTTGTGTTGATGATAAACTGTATTAAATAACAGGCACTGCTGGTTATTTTTAAAATGCTCATTTTTCTTTCACCATTCAATTTTCCGTCTTGAGGGAGGTAAATGAGTAACAAATCTGAACTCCATTTTTCCTTTCCCCTTCCCAGGCTGGTATAGATGGAGAAAGCATTGGGAACTGCCCATTCTCCCAGCGTCTCTTCATGATCCTGTGGCTCAAAGGAGTTGTGTTCAATGTCACCACTGTTGATCTGAAAAGGTAAAAATTGTTCTGTTTAATTGAAAATAGGTGTATGACCTAGTGTTTCCACTATAGAAAGACCCCTCCAAGTTAAATCAGATTTTTATCTGGCCTAGAGAGCCTGTGGAGCACAACAAAATAGTTGGGATTCAGGTTTGGCTGTTGTTTTTATTTTTTTTCTCACTTGTGGAATGTTTTTATATTAAACAGGGTGCTTGGGGTAGTTTCAAAGTCTTCCAACCACAAATTACTGGAGAGGAAAAAAAAAAGGCAGACTGATTTTGTAGGAACTATAAATATCTGTGCAACTACCCGACCATAAAGATTAGTGATTTCATGACTTTTTCTCTGCTTGCAGAAAGCCAGCTGACCTGCACAATCTGGCTCCTGGGACCCACCCACCTTTCCTGACATTTAATGGAGAAGTCAAGACAGATGTTAACAAGATTGAGGAATTCTTGGAAGAGATTCTTGCACCTCCAAAGTAAGACCTTCAGATATTTTTTTCAGTCAATATTCCATTTCCTAGGAATGAAAGATGTCCTAAGAAGAGTTCCTAAAAAGCACTCCTTCCTACAACCTTTACTTACAGGAGTAATATTTATTTATGAAACTTGCTGGCTTCAGTGAGATGACTTCCATGTGTGAAGGTTACTTATGTGACTAATAACTGCAGAATGTTTTCTCTGTACACATTTCAGGATGCTCTTGTATGCAGAATTAAGGAGACCAGTACTAGAAAAAAATTGTAGGGGTCTGGTGGCCACATTTTGCAAAGCTAAAAATAACTTGGAATAGATGCTGAGAATTGCCACACAAAATATCTGTGCCAGGAAAAGCATTTTACAGTGAACAACTAGAGGTTTCTGAGCTGTATGGTGTGTTAGGAAGGTTGGAAGGGGAACTGATTACAGAGGACGACAGGCTCGGGAGGCAGAAAAGTGCTCATTATTCTAGTCAAGAAATGACAAGAGCCCATAACTGGAAGCTATAACTAAACTAATTCAGGTCAGGAATAAGGCCCAGATTTTTTCAGTATGAAAAAGGTACCAATGAAAGGTTTAGATTTACCAGATATGCCTTACTAAGTCAAACATTTTGGACTTAATACAAGGATAATGGAAAAAATAAATAGTTGGCTTCTGAGTTGGACCTTAGAATCTATGAATCCATCAAATTTGGCTTGGTTCCTTATGGAGCATTTTACCTCCAAGTGAATCAGCAGCTATAGGCCAGTCCTGAGGCAAGAGATCCGGCATTTAAATTTTCTATACTCTGCTCCAAGACCACTGAAGTCAGTAGGAGTCATTAGTTCGTGTTTATCTTTCAAATCAATATATTCCTTTTCACTAAATGTCTGTAAAAAGCGATGTGGAGACTGGAACATTTATGTTCCTTCACTTGGTTAATCCTAACACCCTTTGCTATTCCATCCTGGAGTACATTTTCAGAGTTGAGGATTAGACACAGCTGCCATTCATAATGGAGAGATCTGGCTGCCAAACTCCCCTGCACCTTTCTGGAAATTTATGTTTCCTTCTGATTTCAGGCTGATTTTGGATTGTGGTTACCTAAAGCACGCGTGCAATTACCTTTGTCTTGACACCATTCCTGTGTAGCTCCCCACATGCCTGCCTCGGCAGACAGATAACAGATAGGGTTGAGAGGGTCTTGCCAAGCTGTTGTTTTGAGATAATGAGTGTTAATTACAGTTCTTCACACAGGAGGGTTTTCTCTCTTCTTGTAAATTGTATTTGTAGCCATGGCTGTGATGCTGGTAACAGGATGTTGCTCTCCCCACTGCTTTTTCCTGTCCAGGTACCCCAAGCTGGCTGCTAAGCACCGGGAATCAAACACTGCTGGAATCGATATCTTTTCCAAATTTTCTGCATACATCAAAAACACCAAGCAGCAGGATAATGCTGGTGAGTATTACCATTGCCAAATGTGCCAGGGAGTTTGTGTGCTTAGAAGTGGAAGAATTTTGCCATTCTCTCATCTTTTTTTTTTGTAAACTGTGTTCAGATGATATCAGGCACTGCTGCTAAACAGTTTGAGGTGGTTCGTTAGGTGGACTCAACTCACATGTCCACAGTTGAATTAACTACATCTGTAGTAGTAAATAAAAGAGCCTCAGAGTGTTTGGTGGCCTCTTTACCAACAGCTATGGCATGACTCCTGTCCATACAGCCCAGCTCCCTCACCAGAACAGGCTCCCTAACTGCTTATTGAAGAGACCGGCCTGTGCTACTTCCTCCTCTGCCCCAGCACTGCTTAGAGGAGTGTGTATTGCACTCTGTAAGCTCCAGATTTTCCCTCACATTTGTTTATGAAAAGAAAGAGTCCCCCAAAAGCCAGATGCCATTCATATTTATATGCATCCTACACTGTCTTCTTAATAAAATTGCTGTTCTCCTCCGCATTCCTTTCCCCTCAGAGAGGCAAAACTCCAGCGAGTCTGAGCTCCTGTTGCTCCATAAAGCTGTGGATTTACACATCCCTATCCCTTGAGATGATCTAGTACAATATTTGCACTCATTCACTGATGTACCTCCTCCCTTGTATTACTGCTTTCTCAGAGACATAAGGCATGTTGAATACCATGGGCTTATATCATATCATTCAGAAAACACCAAATTTTGCAGGTTCCAGCTCTGCTACACATTTCATCTGTGCAATTATATTTCATTGCCCGGGGCTGACCCATGAGATAAAAGTGGGTAAATGATGACTTATGTCAGATAACTATCTCCCCTGTAATATATTTGTGTTGTTAACAGAAGGAAATAATTATAGTGCTTCGCTTCTCAGTGATGCTAAAAACTTTTTTGTCTAATGCTAATGGGATGCTCAGCTAACCTTTATAGGAAGTTGTAAAAGGAAGATAAATTAAGAGTTAGACTAAATGGATGTAACAATGAAAGTAAAATATCCTGGCCATTTACAAGGAAGTTTTATGGTCTGCTGTGCAACTGTAAATCTTCAGCTGTGCTACCCCACATGCACAGTCCCAGCTCTTGCTTCCAGTGGCTGCAATATGCAGATCCCTGGGCTCACAAGGGCTGGCATCTCCAGCTAGGAATAAATGGTTGTCCTAGAGGTGTCTGCATCTGGCCATAAGCAGAGCTGCAATTCAAGGTCTGGTACCCACCATGGTGAGATAAGGAATCTAACCCCACAAGGCACTCCACATTTTTAGAAGCTGCATTATGATTAAAGAGAGCTTTCCCTAGTTCTGCATAACAAACTCTTGGTTTAGGTACTCTTGTAAATGACAATTAAGCACACCAAAGTTTTAGAGACCAGAGCTTTTAAGCTGCAGGAGAGACACAATCTTTGCTCCCTGCAAACATCCTCACTCCATTTTTGTTAGCTGGTTCCTGCTCCTGTCCTATCCAGACACTGCAGTCTCTGAATATACTGATGCTCAACTTTCCTCTTCAAAGTAGAGAAAAGCTTTTAGCTTAATTTTATTACAGCTGGAGTGCTGCACTGCAAGGAGAATAAAGCAGACATGGGCAGAGTGGAGCTGGATCTTTCTATCTATAACTATGTTCTTTCTGTCAATGAAGTAAGGTCCCTGGGACTGTCAGTGCAGACCTCAATTTCAGCTGAGTAATTGACTGTCAGTTTTCAAGGGCTAAGGAAGAATAGTTTCTCCCTAATCCCAGGGATGTTTTATTCACCTTCTGCCTGGTTCATCTGAACAACAGCAGTTTTTCTGAAGGCTGGTTTGGATGGAGGAGAATGAGTTAGTCATAAAGTAGCTGTCTTACATTTCTTGAGCAGTAAAAAGACTGTGCAAAGAGGAAAGGAGGGCAACACTGTGTACATATTTCCTAATGAACCTATTTATTTTTGATTTGTATTTAATAATTTTTTGTAAAATTGCAACACTGATTCAAATGGGATCTGGGGCTCTAGTTCTCATCTGGTGTGTATCATTTTACAGCATTATTTAAAATAATAGAATAGAATCACAGAATCCCAAAAGACCTGGAGTCTGGAAATCTGGAATCTGGAAAAGACCCTGAAATCATCAAGTCCAGCCTTTGATCATGACCCTGTCAATTAAACCATAGCACTGAATGCCACATCCAGTCACTTCTTGAATTCTTCCAGGGATGGTGACTCCAGCACCTCCCTGGAAAGCCCATTCCAATGCTTAACAACTCTCTCACTGACTAAATTCTTCTTGATGTCCAGCCTGGCCTTACCCTAGTACAGCTTGAGGCTTTCTATTGAAGTAAATAGTTTTTATATTGTATAAATTTTATAGTCTATTCTATTTATATGTTAAATAAATTTTATACATTCATTTTAATGTACTGTAACATTATATTGGTATTGTATTATATCTTCTATTTCTCTTAATATTATTATATTATATTTTAATTTATCCTATATAACAGCAGAAGTAGTTGTATATAGTTCTGTGACAAAAAACCCCCACATTTTATAAACATAAAATATAATTACTTAGGTGAAGTCCCTTTCCGTGTCTCCACATGAGCAGGTGAGATCCAAAAAGAACAGAGTTTGCTGCCTGTGGTTATCATAAATGTTTTTTGTGGCTCCCAGCTCTGAGATAAAGGTTATATGTGTCTCATAGTCATCCTCTGTATCTGTTCCTAGCTCCAGCTGATTCCAGTGCTTGTGTTAATTTGGAAAGCCACACCAGTGACTGGAACATCAGTTGCACATGATCAAAACACAAATAGAAGACGAGTTGTTAGTGAATTAAAAATAGATTATAGAACCCAGATTGCTATATAAACAATAGTTTTCATTTCTTTTAATTGGCAATAGAGGCTGGGGGACGGGGCAGCAGGACAGCAAGGTGGTTAAAGCACCAAACATCAAGTTGTTTAAATTATGTTCTCTTAACTCAGGAGTCAGGGAAGTGAATTCAATAATGTGTGGGATATCAGGCTGGGAATTTGTGGCATCAGCCTGTCTCTGGCTGTGAGAAGTGTGGGTTAGGTGTCATTATGTGTGACCATTCCTTGTAGGGTACTGGTTTAGGACAGGTCTCGTGGTGTGTGCAACGTGAGCTCTCACCCCAGCCTGGGGCTCTTACAGCTCTGTGGAAAAGTTTCATGAAGTGGTTGGGATAATTAATGATATTTGTGCAGCATGAGAGTACTGGGTGTGAGAACTGATGGGAATCTGATGCACACCAAAGAGAAGAACAAGCTGCTATCACTCTTAGTTTGCAGCCAGGGCCATGGAGAAGTGTCACACTTCAGGTGATGCCACTGCTGGCTGTGTCACTGTGGTATATCCTGTCCTGGGAGCACTGGCAAGATGGCATTGCTAGCACAGCCTTTACATAGCTAAATGCTTTTTTTTTCCCCGATAGTGGAAAAGTCAGTGAGGACCGCAAGAGATTGGTAAATCCTTGTTTTAGTGTGCGTCTGAGTCCTTGTAGCTGAGTGAACAGATGTAAGGATACATTTGTAGGTCTGTTCCTGAGATTCTGACACCCTCTGCTGGCAAATATATGAATGTATAAAGCAGCTCTGCACAAGCAGCTTTACAACCAGGGCGGAAACATCCCCTTACCAAAACAGGGTTCTTTCTGTCAAGACAGTTTCCTCTTACAAATGTAACATTGTCAAAAGAGAAGTGTTTCATAGCAACCTATCAATTTTGACAAAGTTTTCATGGAAAAAATTATGTTTTTTCTGCATGAGTTAAATTTACTTTGAAGTCAAAATGCTTTAGCATTACAGAGAAAAATTGTGATTTTTTTTTTCTGGATTCATGCAGTACTTCATTAGCCACACACAGTTATGTTTTATGCCTGGCACAGAAGCAGGTGATAACCTTCTCCTGCAAGTCTACATGGCAATATGTTATTGATCATGATTCATTTACTTACCAAAGGTATTTGGCAGCAAGGCTGCCCTGATTTAATAGTTCCCTGAATTTCTGATTCTTTTTTTCCATCTTTGTTTTCCTAACTTTTCTGTCTTATAATATAAAAATGTTGAAAGTTTTGGAACAGGCTGGTGAGGGCTGTAAGCCCAGAAGCAAACATGCTCATGCCATATCAAAGTCCCACCACTTTTAAGCTTCTTGAAAGGGAAGGAATTGATTCCAGATTCTCAGGATGTGGCAAGCTGTGTTTAAAGAAAGTGTGTGCATTTATTATTTCAAGTCAGTTCAATCAGAACTCGATTCCTTCCACCCCCTGTGCCACTTGATAATTTTATAACAGGCCTGTTTGAAGGAGTCATCTCCTCATTGTGGGATTAGATCTGTGTTTCAGTAGCACCACTGGATTATTCAGTTCTTTGGCTGTTGTCACCAGGCTTCATCCCTTGTGCCTGAAATGGCAAGGGCTCATTCACACATGGACAAGAGTCCTTGGGAGGGTTCAGTGCAGTAGTCTTGAAAATTATTTCCTGGATGCTCTTGCTCAAGTTTTAATGGCCGATTTGAGAGTTTTTGATTGCTTAGTGATTGTTTAATATCGAGAAGGAAGTCTTGTCTGAGCATAGGAAAGTAAACTGAGGTCTTGTGTGTTTACTTTGGTTCCTCTGGTTGATGCTGAGCAAGTCACTCATGCTCTGTACGGTCACCAGGGAAGCAACAATTTATGTATTCATTGGAGGAGGATGAAATCTAATTAATTGGAATGCTGTGTACACAGTCAGTATCCTGCTTATTATTTTTACTTGCGAGACTGTGTGCTGCAAACCAAGGGGACAACCTGGGGTAACCACCCATTAACTGTCCCGCCCAAAATTGTGAGTTCTTTGGCTCACAGAATGAGCCCTTTGATTTCATGTAGGAGTTTAAAAAGTTGTTCTTGAATTGAGTTCTTAGGGGGCACCAGCTCCAGTGTGGGTGGGCGCATTCATTAGTGGTACGGAAGGATATTTCACTGTAGGGCTCCTCAGAAGGCGCTGAGCTGGGA